GATCATCACCGAGTGTGGAAGCTGCGGCCTGATTCTTCCTTGCTGATTGCAGCGTCCGCCGACGGGACTGGAAAAACAGAAACATCCGCATGTAAATTGAAGGTGCTCGGCGCTTCGCGCCGCGGACTATACTAATCGTACTCCAGAACGGTAAGTTAGAGCTCAGGTAAGTTGAAGTAGATGACCTCCTAATCACCATTTATATTTTTCAGGAATTTGAAGAAACATGCAATTTGATAATCGGGTTTTTCTGCAATACGTCAAACCATAATACAGATTAGGAAAATTTACAGATATAAATCAACAACATTTATGAATACAATAAAAAAGAAATACATATAGTAGTTATTAAGGTATATTCCACGGCCTATTCTTCTTCTCCGCCCAATAAAACCCTACAACCACCGTTTTGGCAGGACAAAATGCCAGGACTAAGGATAAATGGAGCGCACTACATAAACTACTGTTGCCAAACACAGACGTAAGCAACCCCCAGAAGTTAGTGGGTGGCCATCTTTAGTAGGGAGGGGGTCCCCGTATTTATGCATCAGATATTTTCACGGTTACACATGTGTGGATGAGCACAACTGACGGATAATGAATGAGGGGAGGTTTCGACGATGGTCTTCTTTGATGAAACGAAGTTCAGACTGAAAAGTTCAAACGGTAAGAATTATTGAGCAAATGCAATTGTGATGGCTGCACCAAGAATTTTATTCGCCCGACGTTTCGACATCCGTCGTGGATCCATCACCAGAGAAAAAAAGTAGAAACGACTGGAATAACTACTGACTAAACAGACTCAAGTAGACCGATATCTGCGGCAGACGATCGTGTGGAGGTATGTTAGGCTGGGTTTCCTTTTTCTCGTGCAAGTAATTATAATTAGGGTTTTTTTTCACAGGGAAAGCGGGGTGATTACTCCTACAGTCAGATAGTAGCTGTTCAGTTGCTATTTTTCGCCAGTCAGCACAACCTGACTCGGCGGATTAAACGGGGACTGAAAAGCACTCAAATGGCTCAGCAAGTTGAGAGTTCATCTCATGTCGTGGGTCACCAGTTATCGGGTTAGGGGGGCGTTGGGCAGCAGCGACCACTACAAACCAACTCCGCAACCAACCACTTGGCTCTCTCAGCCGCTAGCAAGTGCGTCTGCACCAGTGTCTGCCTACCCAAATCCGTTCTGGCCAGTCATCTCCTTTTGGCTGACTCATACATGACTGCGCTGTAGACGCTAGGACCCCGCGCTCTCTTACTTCCGACGCCTCCCTCTACGCTGCGCTGCGTTTGCTTGCTCGTCCGACTTCTACCTATTCTCCACTATCTTCTATACAGTATAAGCTATTCCTCCCATCTGACGTCCCACTTCTTCTCTTCCCCTTCGGAACCGGGTCTGAAACTCGCAGTGCCACTGCAATCTGCTTGTTCGACTGCTGTCTCTGCCAAACACAGCATAGCACACGGGAGAATATATTTTAGATCTGAAAGTTGTTCTCACTGAAGAGTTGCGTGTATTATTAGCATTCCGTTCAGGTTGGCTACCAGTCTACCCAATCGACTTCAAGAGAAAGTTATAGAAGAGCTGTTTACCCTAGTGTGAGATCTAATGAGGGTTCTGCGACCACTGCCAGCGTGGAATGCTGTCGAGCGTACGTGCATGGCATGCAGCGTGGGTGCTTTTCTGTGAGATTAACTCATCGTGTGAATGGAGGAATGCTCAACAGTGTGTTTGTGTGATGTCATCACCGTGAACCGCAATTCCACAACACCTTAGTGCACTTATCCTTATGATAACTCTGACGCGCTTATATCTACTGTTATGTATGCCCGTCCGTAGTGTCGGGACATCATGAGGCGATGCGCGCGTCAATCGCCGGTCAAGGTCACGGACGCGTGTTCACCCCTTTCTTTGTTCTGACTGCCCAGTCTTCACTCCTGGCTAGCGGGCTCACCCCTGTCCTTATTCTGATTGGCCAGCATTCGGCCTATTACCTTTACCCCTACACCGCGGTGTCGACGTGACTCGTCACTTTAACTGTACCTTCGTCCTCAGTACATGTCCTGCCTAAAGACAGTCCTCTGTTTTGCCTGCATGACATTCTGCTTACAGGCAACCTTCTGTTTTACATACATTTCATTCGTC